AACTGATTGGGTTTCTACCAGAAATGTTTTCAAGTGTCAACTATTTAGTGATGAATTTGTACCACTTACTTACCACTTCTCTTATTCATTGTATTATATAATAAGTAGAACGAGTTCTGTCTATTCGCAACACAACACAAAAGCTCTACCCCATTTGACATTTCAACCCCTATTCGACGACGGTTAGAGGGATGAAAAATTGATATATACATATATGTATGTATATAGCAAATATATGAAGAGATATACAGAATAATTTTCTCATATGCTCGGAGGACTAGTCTATTTTCAATTGCTATTTTGAAGTAGACTGAAACTCAACTTTCGAGAACTGGCAATTTTTTTTTTCATTTATTGATGACTATACACGACTAGTTTGATAGTCAGGGACTGGAAAGTCGAAGCACAAAAGCTCTATTACCCAATTCTTAAACTTAGAGTTTATAAATAATTTTTTCATGGTCCTTTTGATATTATCTAATTCTTTAAATATAACATCTATTAATTTGCTCGTCAGTAAAATCCTTTTTTTATTTTTTACGCGGCTATTGAACTTGCTTGTCAGTATAGTCCTTTTCTTAATTTTATGAGTGACAGCTCACAAAATTCAGTATTAAATCTTGTTCTATTGATATTGATGACTCAAGTTATCTTAGAACGAAATCCAATCCATTCATGAGTAGTTTAAAAAAAAAACAGGAAACTGCGAGAGGCAGCATAAAACAACCAAGATAAAAAGTGGACTCTACTTACAAGCAAATTTATTAGCAAAGTTGAAGGTCAAAAGAGGACTCTGTCGACAACAAAGTAAAATTTGACTTGAATATTAAAAAAAGGACTGCACTGATGAGCAAATTATTTAGCAAAGTTGAAGATAAAAAAGGACTCTACTGACGAGCAAATTAATTAACAAAGTCAAAAGAGGGCTCTACTCGATAGAATAGAAACATATAAGATTATATTATAAGATTATCTTATATTAAAAACATATAAGATTAAAAGGGACTCTACTGACAAACAAAGTAATAATGGGTTTAACTGACAAGCAAATTAATTAGAAACTCATATAAGGAAAAAAAGGACTCTACTGACACGCAAATTAACTAGAAACTCATAATTAAAAGGGACTCTACTGACGAGCAAAGTAAATTTGGACTTGAATTTCAAAAATAGAAATGTACTGATAAACAAATTAATCATCAAAATTGAAGGTCTGTTCTTTCATTCATTGAAGGTCAAAAGAGGACTTTACTGACAAGCAAATTAATTAGAAATATATAAGATAAAAAGGGACTCTACTGACGAGCAAATTAATTAGAAACATATAAGATAAAAAAGGACTCTACTGACGAGCAAATTAATTAGAAACATATAAGATTAAAAGGGACTCTACTGACGAGCAAGTTAATAAAAAACCTGTAAAATTAAAAGGGACTCTAATGACAATCAATTCAATTAGAAACTCATATAATTAAAAGGAACTCTACTGACGAGCAAATAATTTATCAACCTAAAAGATAAAAAGGACTCTACTGGCGAGCAAATTAATTATCAACGTAAAATATGGAAAATGGACTCTATTGACGAGCAAACTATCTATAAAAAAAATAAAAAGGAACTCTATTGACAAAATTATCTATCAACCTGGAAGATAAAAAAGGACTCTACTGACGAGCAATTTATCAACGAATAAAATAAACTTTGCTGACGAGAAAATTATTTACGAACATTTTTTTTTTTTTTTTTTTTTTTTACAATTTATTTTTGTTAATCAAGACTATAATGTCTTATTTACAAAATTGATATGAGCAAAAAAAAATACAAAAAAAAACAAAAAATGCAATACATTGAATATAAAATGAAAAAAGTTGAAATAAAAATTAAATTAAAACAGTAATACAAAAATAATAACATAAATGAAAGATGACGTGATGATGTATGCCGCGTACTACGTCAGGACGCGTGCAGACATTGGACTAGGTGTTTGGTAGATCGGAGGGCCATTTCTTGCTCAATCTTCTTATCGGTCTGTGAATCGCTTGAATTGTAGGATTTGTATGCTGGATTAATTTATTGTTGAAAGATGAACTTCTAATCTTGATCATTTCGTTGACTGTTGAGATTTTCAAATCCTTATGTAGGCAAAAATTCGAAATATACCAAGGCGCATTAGTAAGGATACGCAGAATTTTATTCTGGCACCTTTGAATGATGTTTATGTTAGATTTGCATGAGCAACCCCATAGTTCGATTCCATAAGTCCAAATAGGCACTATGATTGTTTTATACAAAAGTACCTTGTTATCGAGAGAGATTTCAGATTTCCTCCCAAAAAGCCAGTAAAAATCTTTTATTTTCAGTTGGATTTGTTTCTTTTTATATTCAATGTGCGTTCTCCATGTCAATTTCGAATCAATGTGCATGCCTAAATATTTAACAGAATTGCATAGTGGAATTATTGAATTGTTCATGATGATAGGTGGACTGTTGTGATGTTTTAGAGAAACAATTATGTGCTGAGATTTTTCGATATTGATTTTGATATTCCAATCTAAAAACCATTTTTCGAGACTAGATAAATATTTTGTAACTGAAAGTTGCTGTTCTAATATCGGAATTGCATGAAAAAATTGCTATGTCATCGGCGTAAGTGCATATGGTTAGAAGATCTGTGGGCATATCGTTTGTGAAAAGAAGATAAAGTACAGGGCTTAGCACACTGCCCTGTGGTACCCCGCATTCTATATTTCTGATGCTCGAAGTCACATCTTTAATTTTGATTCTAAATTTTCTATTAAGCAAATATGAGCTTAAGATATTGAAGTAGTTTGGAAAAGTTGTTTTGATTTTATATAGGAGTCCTGAGTGCCAAACCTTATCAAAAGCCTGACTGACATCTAAGAATACGGCTACACTGTGTTCCTTTCTATTCATGGCTTCAAGAATACGAGACACCGTTCTGTTGCATTGTTGAATTGTAGAGTGATTTTTTCTGAAGCCAAACTGATGGTGAGGAATCCAACTATCATTCGGATGATCTTCTGACAATCTCTGCAACAAAAGTCTTTCTAAAATTTTCGATAATATCGATAAAAGACTGATAGGACGGTATGAACTAGCAGTGTGATGGTTTTTGTTTGGTTTAGCGATCATAATAATTTCTGCAGTCTTCCACGCTGTGGGCCAATAATTGTATTGAAGTATGGCGTTGAAAATATTTGTTATATATAAAATACCTTTTGTAGGCAATTCTTTTAACATCTTTGGAGTAATTTTATCCATACCGGCGAAGATCTATTTTTATATCCTTTTATTTCACATAAGACATCATTTGGTGAAAAATGTCCTAACGGTGTAGAATGTATGGGTTGATTTACGAAATTATTAATTCAATTATTCTGGGAAATATTTCGAGCGCTAAAAATGCTACTTAGATGATCAGCAAATGCCTCCGCTTTTTCTTCGTTGCTTTTGGCCCAAATGAATCCGTTTTGGTTGGTTATTTTCAGAGGAGGGTTTTGTTGTAGGGGTTTACTTTTGTTTCTGATTGGTTTCCATTTAGCTTAGAATTATCGTACCTATTTAGCTGCAATATATACGACCTGAATGTACAATTCTTCCATTCTTTCATTTTTTCCTCAGCGTGTTATTGAGATGATTAAGCGATGTCTTATCCGTTGGTAGATGAGAATGTTGCCAGGTACGTCTTGCTCTTCGTTTCTCTGCAATTAGCTTCTTAATCTCTTGCGGAATTATTAGATTATCATTTCTTGGATTAATGTTCGGGGTGATCTGCTTGGTTGTTTCACGTACAATCTCAGAAAAATAATCTATATTATTTTCTATATCAATAACGCTTGTAGGCCTAGATTTTGCAAATAATTTTGAATCAAGTATGGATTTGAATTGAATCCAGTTAGAAAGATTGTTGTGTAGAATATGATTGTTGATAACTGGAGTAGGAAATGTGCTAAACGTCACAAGTATTGGAGAATGATCTGAAGAGAGATCGTAACCAGATTCAATATTGAGATTTGAAAGATCAATACCTTTCACAATAAAAAAATCTAAAAGGTCTGGAACTTTAGTAGGGTCAGAAGGCCAATAAGTTGGACTGCAAGTTGAAATAAAAGAGAGGTTATTTTGCCCTATGGCTGCATGAAGAATCTTTCCTTTGGCTGTAGTCAGTCTAGAACCCCAGGCAATATGTTTACAATTAAAGTCACCACTAGTGATGTGCCGACTCGAAAATTTCCTGATTCGAGTGATTCGAATCAGAAAAAAACCTGATTCGAATCATGATTCGAATCAATTCGAATCATGTTCATATATGAACAATTATAATTTAAGGGAAGAAATATCATTTTAATTATTTTATAAGTGAAATAATTAATTTAGTAAGCAATTAATTCCAAAAAGTGCAGAGATGAATACATTTATATTATATATATAATAATAAACTAGCTACAAATATAACTAATCTTTCAAGTGAATGTACAGTAAAATATAACCAAACACTTCTCTATCACTAAAGCATATAAAACAATATTCTAATCTTACGTTGAACGAATGCATGTGTATATTATTAATTGTTTAGATCTAATCTAAACAGGGGCTGAATCTAACGTCTTACGAATGACTTAAAATTCAATCCACTACTGCAGCGGTTTCCAACCTTTTTTTCCTTGCGCCCCCCTTTTGAAAGAAAAAAATATTGCGCCCCCCCCTAAATTTTTTAACAATTTAATTTAAATATACTTAATTGAAATTATGATTTATTAATCTCGTACCAAATAATGCACAATATACATACATACAAAAATAAACATACAAAATATACATACAAAAATACATACAAAAATATACATACAAACATAACTATGGATTATAGGAAAAAAATAATTTTAAATTTAATAAAAACAAATGATATAATATTTCACACAATATTAAAAAATTAATGCGACGGTTGAGCTTGTTTTTCAGCACAAATTTTCTCAAACCGCGGCTCCATTGTAGAAATCGCTGTTCTCAGTTCCTTTTCTATCACTAAACGAGATCGGTACTTTGTTTTTAATACTGCTACTGCAGAAAAACCAGTTTCACATAAGTAGGATGTCACAAATGGTAATAAAATTTCTAAGGCTTTATTTGTCAAAGTTGGAAAATCGTCCTTTACTTGTAACCAAAACTTAACAATATTCTTTTCGTCCTGAAACATCTGCTTCAATGTGCTATCACTAGATAAATCAATTATCATTTCCTGCTCTGCCGTTGGAAGTCCAAAATTATCATATTTATCAATAACAAATGGATTTCTAATCCATTCGTATTTGAACATATCTAGATCTTTGAAGTAATGCGCAAATTGGTTCCTTAAACTAGTCATATGATTGATAATAAGATCTTTACTTGCTTCTATTTCATCATCATTAACACATGTAGTTTTAAAAGAAGGAAACATATCAAAGTTATTACTTTTCATACTAGCTATCCACAGCTCTATTTTTTTCATAAACGCCGTAATCTTGTCCTTTTGAACAAAAGCATGAATTTGAGTTCCTTGCATTGATTTATTTAAATCACTTAGTCTTTTAAAGATGTCAACTAGATACGCAAATTTTGCGAGAAACTTCGTGTCATAAAATATGTCTGCTTCATCTCTTTTATTATCAGCAAGAAAAATGGCAATTTCTTTTTTGAGCTCAAACACCCTTTGAAGTACTTTAGCACGAGAAAGCCAACGTGCTTCACAATAATAAAGTAGTGCTTTGTATTCTGAGCCCATGTCATCACACAATTTTCCAAAAAGCCTTTCTCTTAATGGACTATTTTTGATAAAATTAACAACTTTTATTATAATTTCAAATACTTCAAGTAATTCTTCACCCATATTTCTTGCAACAAGAGATTGCCTATGAATCATACAATGCGTCCAAACTGCACGAGGAGCCACTTTTCGAACTAGGGCCTGCAGACCAGCATTTTTTCCTGCCATAGATGGAGCTCCATCAGTGCACAGTCCAACACAGTTCTCCCATAAAATACCATTTTCAAAAAAAAAGTTATCAATCATATTAAAAATTTCACTCGCCGTAGCTTTGCCTTCAATTGTCTTACAGAATAACAACTCTTCTCTAATATCATTTTCCATAACATATCTTATATATGTTATTAAGTGTGCATCCTTAGCAACATCGGTAGCCTCATCTACTTGCAACGCGAAAGAAGATAATTTAATTTTTTCTATCAACTGATCGCAAAGATCATCAGATATATCTGATATCCGTCTTCCCACCGTATTATCTGCCAGCGGAATGCTTTTAATTTGATCAGCATATGATTCACCAAACATCGTAGCTATTATGTCAATAGCTGCTGGTAGCACTAAAGTTTCTCCTATTGAATGGGGTTTTTTGCATTTAGCAATTCTATACGAAACTTTGTATGACGCAAGTAACGCTCTTTGTGATACAGACAAAGCTTTTGAAAACGATTCTTTCTGTTTATTTAAGTTATCTAATTTTCTTTGGAAAAATTCTTTTGTTTTGCCAACATGATCGGCGTGCACTTTTTCCAGATGTCGTTTTAATTTACTTGGTTTCATGCTATCTGAGGCCAAAGTATTCATACACAGCAAACACATTGGTCGTTCTTGACCATTAATGATCTTATACGTAAATCCCAATGATAAGTACATTGGATCATATTTTCTATGTTTAGTTTTACTATTTTGTGAAGAAACATTTCCATTATTTTCACCACCCTCTTCTTCTGCTTCATTAAATTTTCTTTTCAACCCAGTCACGTATTTATCCATTACAAACGGTTTTTATAACAAATCAAAGAAAATCACTTTTTCACTACTTTTCACAATAATTCCTGGCTAATAATGTGCTAAAACTAAAGCTATAAATTTTAACTCAATTATAATTTAGAAATTATTTTTTCTATATATCAACGCGTGTATCTCCAGCACAACTAATGAACTAATTCGATTTATAGATAACAGAATAAAAAGGATGCATTTGTTTATTTACTTAAGTTAGTCTCGAGTAAGCACGTGAATATTCGATATGATCCGAGTGTTTATCTTTTGTTTATAGGCCTACAGCTCACTCAACTACAAACGCAAAAACGAAATATTTTGAATGCACCAAAAGTATAGTATATTCATGCTTTTACATTTGTCCTGACAAAATTGCAGCGAAAATTGTAGATAACTTGCATACATTTTGCTGATTTGTTTTTGACACTTACTCAGCATTTAACAACCATATTTTTGAAAGAGCTTCGCGCCCCCCCTGGGACGGCACCGCGCCCCACCAGGGGGGCGCGCCCCACAGGTTGGAAATCGCTGCACTACTGTAAAGATTGATATTATTTCATTTGTGTGAATTTGCCATTACTTGCATAATTAAAATATAATAATTTTGTATGTGTATAAAACTCGTTGTGTAGTTTATTTTGATAATAATTAAAATCTAAATCGCGTATTTATTATCTAAATGAGTTTTTGATATTTCATGAACAAATTTGCTCTCAGCGCTTAGTCAAAAATAAACAAACACTCAAGACCCATACGCACTGCATCTCCATAAGTCGATACGCTAAAACACGGCCACATGTTTCGAACTCAAGCCGGAATGATTCAGTTTGAGGAACTCGGATAAATTCATACCGACTTGAAGTCGGGATGAGTCGGTTTGAGTCATAGGAACTCGAATCAATTCATAACGACTTGAAGTCGGGATAAGTCGGTTTGAGTCGTAGGAACTCGAATCAATTCATAACGACTTGAAGTCGGGATAAGTCGGTTTGAGTCATAGGAACTCGAATCAATTCATAACGACTTGAAGTCGGGATAAGTCGGTTTGAGTCATAGGAACTCATATCGACTTGAATGCGGTTAAAGTTATATAAATTGGAGTCGGGTGATACATTTAAGCGTATTAAAGGCGGGTGACTCGCATGATTTAATTCAAGATTTATTTTTTATATTTATTATTATTATTTTTATATTTATTATTATTATTATTTATATTATAATATTGAATTAAATTAAAACTTTTTTTTATATTTATGAAAATTTGTGTTCATACATGTACACAGTAAATATTTCGCGGCTTGATACGAGTTGATTCGAATCAAGTAAAATCTGATTCGAATCAAGTCGTTAAAGGCTTGATTCGAATGATTCGAATCACTTGATTCGACTTGGCACATCACTAGTCACCACCAATGATAAATTTATTACCTAATTGAGAGAGAAAAAAGAAGAAAACTGAGCACAAGAAATTTTGAATCTTGGTGGACAATAAACAGCAGAAACACAAAAATTATATAAATTTGTTTCAACAGAAATTTGAGTTGCTTGTAGAAAATCATCAGAAATATTTGGTAGAACAAAATGCTTTATATTATTTTTGATTAATATAGCCGAACCGCCGCGAGCCCTGCCACTTGGGTGATTTGAATTATAAGTAGTGTAGTTATAAATTTTAAAGTAGTTTTTTTCAGTGAAGTGAGTTTCTGAGATTAATAAGATATCTATTAAGTTTAACTTTAAAAAACATTCTACTTCATTTTTGTGAGGTATTAAACCGTTGGCATTCCATTCAGCAATTTAATTATTTTTGCCATTGCTTTTGTTGTTGACTAACGTGGATAACATATTTATTATTATGGTGTTCTGTTGCAAAAGCTGATTGAAGATATTTTTAAATTCTAAAATAAGTGTTGCTAGAGAATCAGAATCGGGATTTGAAGGTGAATGATTAGAAGAAGCAGAGTAATTGTTTTTTGCAATGTCTGCATAGGATGAATTTTGAATTGTTGGATTTAAGGCCGGAGAAATGTTGTTTATTTTATTATTAGAATTAGAATTATTAGAATTTTTAAAATTTTGGTTATTTGGATTTGGATTTATGACTGATTGATTTACTGGAGTTTTGTTTCTTTGTTCTTTAATTTTTTGGAAGTATGAGCAACCGCGATAATTAGCTGGATGAGCACCGTCGCAAAAATAACAACATGCCGGAGCATTCGGATCTTTGGTACAAGCATTAGTATTATGATTGTCTCCGCATTTTAGGCAAGCAAATGGTCTATTGCAGTATTTTTTGGTGTGGTTAAAGAGTTGACAGCGAGTGCATTGTATAATGTTGTTGGACTTTCTCGGTGGTTCGACGCGTATTATGCAGTTGAATAATTTATAAATGTTATAAATATTTTTGTTATTTCTATTTGGTTCCAGATCAACAAAAAACATATTAAGAGGTTCTTTTGTTATTCTATGTCTAATATTTAGGATATTACGTACGACATGACCCTGTTTTAATAGTTCTAATTTAATTGCATCTGTGCTTGTTGAAAAGTGTACATTTCTAAGAACAACCCTATAAGCCTCTCTTCTTTCAATTGATATGTACGATATACGGCATTTAGTTTCTTTTAGATGTCTGGATAAAGTTCGAAAATGGTCGACAGAATTACATAGAATTTTAAATGTATTGTTAGCTAAACTTCTCAGGAAATATTGATCGTGCGGAATTATTTCATTTAATTGATTAGACATAACATTAATATCGTCAACTCCGTAAATAAATATTGGAGGGGGCTTACTGACTGGAGCCGGTTTAACTGAGATGTCATCATTAGCTGTTTCTATTGTTGAAAGGGCCGAAAATCTGTTTTGAATTTTGACATCTATTCCTAATGGTTCAAATGAAGTTTTTCTTTTTTGAAATTCACTACTTGCCATGAATTAGGAGGTTTCTTGACATCAGAATGTGGTTGAGTGAGGCTTGTAGATGCACTATAACTAGATGATATTACTTCCTGTCTTGAGTCAGAAACTGATGAAGTTGAACGCAGCGAGACCTTTTCCGATGTAAACATATTGGTCCGACCTTCTTCGCGAGGTATCTTGCTGTATTTGCTGGATCCAATAACGGTCCTTCGTAGTTTTGGGATTTCTGATGGTTTACTGTCCGATTCCATATTCGCTTCTATATCTTGATTGAAATGTAAGACATTTTTTTGATTCCACAAACGCACATTAGAGTCTCGATTATGTATGGTTTTTTGTAAGCAATTATTTAATTATCTGTACACTTTTGTAAGCTTTCCATGCAATTTTAATAAACCGTAAAATTCAATCTGACATGCACCAGTCCGGAAACGTGTTTTAATTTTATCTTATAAGTATTATAAAAACAATAAACCCCACTATAGTTTGTCTATATTTTGTCAGTACAATCAAACTGGAAGTTTTATTCACTTTCTATAGAAAACATAGTATAATTTATACAAGTCTTTTTTGGTCTTTTGACTTGTTGATTACGTTTCAAGTTTTTCAGATTTTTTTGGGTTCTGGATTTTGTGTATAATTGTAAATAATACTACTCAGCTTATACAAAATATTCAAATTTTTGCGAGGAGAGATAGAAAATGAATTAAGTATTTCTTCTTTAACCTGCTTTTTAAAATGTTTCAAGTAACATTCGATGAATTGTAGTGAATTAATAAAAAGTATATTTGTAGAGCAGGTCGAGACACAAAGATCCAATTTGACGTTGAGCAAATATAAACTATATTGTGAAAACCATAACAATTATATCACAACAAATAACACATATCAAACAAACAATTATCTGACTACGTTTAGTAAACTCTGTCTTCTACTTCATCATTGTAGAAATGTGCTTTTTTGATGTCTTTCAAAAATTTGTTATCTAAACCTTTTTACCCTATAGGCGAGGTAACTTGAAACGGGAAGGTGGCAAAAAGGTTTAAAGCCTTATTATAATTTTAAAGGTATTTTACAAAATAATTACATTTTTAACTGATACTAAAAAACTACCAACAGAAGAAAATACTTATATTATAGATTTTCAAAGATTACCGTTTTATTTCACCCATTTTAAAAGATTACCGTTTTCAATTCAAGGTTATAGCAGGTTATACATCTTTTTTCCTCTACTTTCAAATATTGTTGTTAAACAATGCTTAAGTTTACTGATTTTTGACACATCGGTGGTGGAACTTTTTAAACCCGGTCCTTCATATACTACTATCTATTCTTCGATAAATTCTGGGAAATTATAACTGGGAAAATGTTATTCGACAAAATGTCCCTTTGATCGATACCAAATTGAGGTTCGGAATTTAAATAACATAAATAAAAATAATATAACCTAGAAAATGTTTTATAAATACCAATGAGTATATAATGATACAAATGAGATCTTTCAGAGCATCGTGTTTGAGAAAAATATGCCAAAAAGTGCATTTTCATATTAACATTTCAAAAAAGTTGATATTTTGAGTTTCTAGTAGCACTTGCGGCCCGTTTACTAACATTTTTGTATGAAAATAAAACTACAAACAAAAACTACTTGCTACAATTTAATCATAATTAAATAATATTCACGTAAAACATCCTATTAAACATAATCGAACATCATCTGTCAAAAACGTTTGACATTTCAAGTATTAGCCACCGTCGATTGTTTTATTTACATTACGCTTCAACAAAAATTTTCAAATTATAAATGTAAAGTTTCTACGCGGATTTGAAATAATTTTCACCTTTTGGACATTCTCTGGATTGGCACGAATTTTTCAAGACTAAGACTGGCCAAATCGATTCAGCCGTTTTCGAGTTTTATTCGGACATTTGAAAGAGAGTTCCATTTTTATATATAAGATATATATATATATATATATATATATATATATATATATATACACACACAATTTGGTTCATAAAATGTTTATTGAATGTGAAAATAAGTTCAATAACGCATTCTTGCCTTC